ATATGTTACATTGTACTGACCTGCTGGCCGCTAGCCATTTCACTTTTACTCCTTTTTTCATAAATTGTCAAATTATTTAAAAACAAATACATACCTAACTATTTTCTGTAAATTACATTAAAAATGTAGAAAACGTATTTTTCATCTATTAAATTGTTATTAATGATAAAGAATACTTTTAATTTATTAAAACAAAAAAATAAAACCTGAATCGATAACTTAAATCACTGCAAATAAGTTGCTTGTGATGGGATCGTTTTTATGGAAAATTTTAATGTTACTACTTTACTAATAAAACTACAGTTAATTTATCTTAGCGCGTTTTATGTAAATGTATTACCCTAATGAAATTAATGCCGTTAATCAAGGTTTTAGGCCTCGTGACTTTAACATTTTTATGCCACTAGTTGATATGTGTGTGTAATGTTTCTATCAGGCTTAACACTCTCCATTTGATCCTTCTTGGGAAAAGCCTCCAGACTATCTGAAGGTAAATTTTACTAAATTTATATATTGGTTTATCTATTACAAATGACTTTCAAAACAAACGTTTGTTATTCTTAGAGTAAGAAATAATAAAATTTGTCGATATTTATTGCATATCAATTTTGTATTTTGAGATAGGTGGCTCTGTTTCCATATTTTTAAAAATAAGTAACTGCCATAATTTCTATTTTTTGACATTCCCATATATGGTAAGAAATGTGAAATTTATTACTTAAGGACATACCTTTAGGAAAATATAACGGAAGAGTTAATTCGATTTTCTTCTTGTTGAGTTTGAAAATTATTAATTTATTATGATTTAAAAACAAATACATAAAATGCCCAAAATAGGCCTGCAAAGGCACTTTATGCTTACTTTTGTTAATAGAGACTGGCGATCCATTTTAGATATACAGCTCACTGGAAAAAGATTATTTAAATATACACCGACCGGGAAAATAAGTACGAAAAAAATTCCCTGGCTCCTGGACTAGTACTGTATCGAACAAATTTTATGAATGAAACAAATCTACGACCATACTTATAAATACTACAATAACGGTCGAGCCTAGTTATGCTGTTGTCGGACGTAACATTTTTTTGGATAATTTAAAGACTTAACAGTATTGCAAGCAAACGTAATTACATTACTACAGTTAAAAACATCGCAAACTTGGCATCAATGTTTTATCCAAATATTGCATTTCTGCCGAGGATCATCCGCGTTGGCTTCAGAAATTTTGTAAATAATCATATCTGTCTTGGTTATATATCTATGATTAATACCCTATACCCAACATAACATAATATGCAGAAAAGCTACCCTCAGGAAATAACCTAGGCACGCAAATTCAATAAGTACAACTAAACTTGTTTTTTTGGTATTTTGCATTACACAGGGTCGGCCCACCGGTGACGCCACGGTCTGTTGAGCCAAAACTATTTATTTTTTTAACTGTTTTCATAACGAGATGTATATCATAAAAGGCAACAATATAACAATACTTTTAATTATAGAGGGTTCTCCAAGAACTTAGAATTTTTAAATGGGACACACTGAATTTTATTTTTTTATTTGAATTGCCCTCGTTTTTCCCATTATATTAAAACCAAATATTATGAGATTATACAAGGTATTTCACAAGGTATAACCAGTTTTCTATGAATTCAATGACTTGTATACTGCAAAAGAAATAATTGAGAACCACTTTTTGCCGTGAATGGTTTTAGATAATAGTCAACAATTTATGACGATTCACTACTTTTTCAATTTGGAACAAAACTCAAATACATCATTTTCTCATTTTCTCTTAAATATTTTATATTCAATAAAAATAAATAAAAAACTTCACATAATACCTTTAAGTTAATTAAGTGTTATTCTGACAGATTTTATTTAATTATAAGTTTCTCTAGGTAGCTTCCAATAATATTTATGGAGGTATTAAGGTGGGTTTCAAAGGTCCAACTCATATTTCTAAGTATTTCCTGAGTAACATTCGAAATACTTCTCTTATTTACGACTAAAGGTCATATTAAAAAACTGGCTAAACTTTTTAAAATACAAATATCGCTTAACTAATGACATTGTTAATAAAGAACTGTCAGTATTAAGGTTTCAAAGGGTCCCTTTGTCCCCTAATAAGACTCCCAAACCTTAGAGCATATTGTTCTAAGTATCAAACGCAAAAACCAAATGACTTTTGCGGATGTGTAATTGGAACTCAAAATTTTCATTTGTATTAATATATCGGGTAAGTATTTATTAAATAAATAAATAAAAAAATTACTGCGATCAAGTTGAACAACTCAAAAAATTCTAAACAATAAAAATTTTCGAATTCGAACCTGATTAAGGCACCATATTGTTACCATTACAACGTCAGTCTACTACCTGATTAGAAGTGACTATGAAGTGACAAGTCACCAACCCGTGGAGTAGGGTATGACATTTTTTGAAATAATTGTATCTGTCATTATTTGTCAGTTTTTATTGTAAACAGAAAAAAAAACTTTATTTAAAATTTATCAGTACGAAGAAAATACATATCTGAGGAAATAACAATTTTTTAGGTATTATAACGAAAAACAAGAAAAAAATGTTTTACTCATGCAGGGTTGAATTTTAAATGGTTTATTAATGTAATAGCAAACTAGCGTCTGTGGAAAGTTGAGTTTGTATTTGGCAGTTAATAAACCGAAAATTGGAAATGGGTTTGCTTTAAAGGCTGAATGAACAGTGTACAAATACGTAAGAGGTAGGAATGTAAAGGTTCTAACTACGTTACATCACTCTACAAAAGACTAATCTACATACCAACATAAATATAATGAAAGTCTAAATTATATATAATTCCAAAACTTAATTAATATGCATTTTAAAATTAATAGAGCTGCAAAAAATATCACAAAATAAAAGTTTAGTTAAAAGCGATTATATTCCGAGACAAAGGTATCGAAATACATTTCATTAAATGCACAATTTTACAGAAAAATAAAAATACCTATAAGGTACTAACAATAGGTATACAAAAATTACATTTTAAGTTGCAATGATTAAATCACTCACTTGCGTAATTAATGCAAATCCAGTTGTATATGAGTTTGTGGTCTAAAAATTTTAGATAAATATAAAAACGAAGTGGTAGGCATCTAATTTTCAGAAAATAGTGAAGAAATATTACCAAAACATTTTGCTGCTTTAATAATAATAAAAAGAAAAGTATCATTAAGACAGTTTTAATTATGCTTTGAATCATCCTGCCCCAATACAATAAAGAGAACCATATTTTTTGCGATTTCCACGTTAAAATTGCTTGTTTTAGCAATATAAATTATGCTTCCTCTACAAAGCTGTAGAAACTATTATTATTTCAGTTTAGAATCATTTAAATTTCAAACGATTTACTAAAGTTATGTTTGAGTCATATAGTGCAGCAACTTAAAACTATATACAACAAATCAAACTATTTTATTAACATAATTCTGTCTTAAGGTAGTTCAACCGTAAAACGGCTAACTTAAGAATTCAATAAAATTTAAATATAAGGTTAATGAAAGTGTCTTATACTTTTACTGAATTGCACTCGACCAGCGAGGTTTTTATAACCTCGCGACGTTTTCTTGAAACATTAATTCGTCCACTGTATTTGAGAACTGGAATCGCCAATTCTGTTTGAACCAAAACAAACCCTTAAAATTAGTATGAGGAAGTCATAAATTTTTATAGGTATACACACTCACCATTCATATATTTGCGAAGTTGCCAGATGTATTTTACTTGAAATAATAACGTATCCGTATATATAAGCTTACATGTGCTGTGTACAGTTTCTTACAAAAATATTTTTTTTAGCATTGATAATCTCGCACTTTTGGTACTCATCATTAGGGGATATTTTTGTGTACGACTGTCGCGAATGAACTGCCTTAAAATAATTTCCTAAATTCTCTGAATAGCTGCCATATTTAACAAAAATTCAAGATGAATCTAAAGCCAAATCTACTGTCGGTTTTACTAGTTTATAAGATAAAACTAATGTTAATTAAATAGTTTTTTTGTCATTAGTAATATTACCTTAATCTTATTACTAAAAAAATGGAATTGCATAAATTTAAATGTGTCGGACTGAAAAAATATTAGAAATACTCGTATGAATCAAATTCGAGGCGCTTAAAAATTTTATATTTTTTTATATTTTTTTACATAACAATATTTTTACAGCACATCCAAAAATGACTCTTTTGTGGATCATACATTATGTCTAAACCGCGTTATAAATAACTCTTTAGCTACTGCCCCTTTACTATTATACCTTGAATTTATCTTTAGTGACATAATATCTAGATAGATTTAAAAAACTGAAATTTTACTGATTTTAATATGTAACATAACCTCAAAATTTAAAATTTATAAAACCGTTATAAAAGTTTTAAATAACATTTTTCTAAAGTGTGTATAAATGTATAAGTAACTTTCCGGTAACTGTATTCAGCAGGCTTTAATAATTTACAAAAGAACCAAACAGTACGCCCATTTTGTGTTTATTACGGAAATGTTTTTAGTTAATTTATTTAGCACAGTTTAAAGAATATATATTCTTTAAACTGTGCAGTTAGTAGAAAAATACCCATACATAGTTTTTAGGATTATATCGAAACTATCTCTGGATGACAACATAAACAGTTTTTTTGATAGCAAATTGCCTCTCCTGATGCCTCACTTCGTTTGATCCATGATTTATGGGACACCCTGTACAATTCTCGTATCATATTTCTCTTTACATTACGGAAACAGAGCTGCGTTTCCGAAATAAGAGAAAAAATGGAATTTTCTTCGCGGTGCTCTAGAAAATTTTGAGTTGATTTTAAAACTAATTTATTTCTTAATACTGATACCTACTACAGACTACACAAGACACAAGAAACGCTCTAGCGAAATAAACAACGTAATACGTAATCCCCACGATAACGAACAAACGACGTACCGGAGTTTGGTGCCTTGACCTCGCTAGAACTCAACACGAACACTGCTACATCGAATAATATTGAAAACTACAGTCACTTTTTGCGGCTACAACATTAACGTTCAAAAATACTCCAAAACGATATTTTTCAGTTTGTGTAAACGTAGACAGCCATTTTAAATACGAAGTAAAGAGGATTTACTCATTTTATTTTGGATAAAGATTTAGAAGGACCATCATATTTGATTAAGTTCCGGTTGTTATTGAAGAATGAAGTTTTAATACAAACATTTTACTAATCGATATACAATGTCGTGTAAATGTGATAGTGGTGGTACAGACCTCTCATATCTAGGATTGGACCTCAGCACTCAGCAGGTGAGAAAATGTTACTTATATTTACTTACCCGATTGATTAGTCAAATGTCAAATGCATACTTTTATCGATTTCGTTACCTATGTTTACACAGTACCTACTTTAAAAATAAGTGGTTATTTATATTTCGTAAATTTTTACCTGGTGCATGTAGGTCTTTATTTTTAAATTTCTAATTATCTTCAATATTTTCCGCATCATGGTTAGCAAAATACATGGGTGATTCTCGGATAACTGTGATTTTTTATGTCCAGTGTTTTATTTATCGTTTAGCATAAGTTTTCCTTATCAAAAAGTTATTAATATTATAAATTTAGAGGAATTTTACAACCGACATTATGAATTAGATCATAAACCTTCGTATTTTTTTTTAAGCTGCATATAAATATACTAAAATGTCAGTACCGTGGCATGTCTGATTCTCATTTTTAAAATTAAATATATAAATTTCTATAAAAATTCATTTTTTAATATAAAATTTACCTCTTATAACTACAATCGAATGCATACTGCATTGAATTTTATTGCAATTTTATACCAATCTTTCGATTGGTAAAAAAAATATTCATTTATATGTCAGTACCGTGGAAATAATGTCAGTACCGTGGCATTAAAATTTTTAAATTTTGTCACAGTTTTCGTTGTTTAGTAGCTGTCGTAGTAGAACCACTTTACAGGCTTATTTCTGTGCATAAATAGAAAACAAAAACGCGTAATACATACGTTTTAAAACATTTTTAATTTTAGAAAAATGTAAGTTGTAAAAATCGCAGTTACACGAGAATCACCCACATAGCAAAATACATAACCGAGGTACTTTTTAGACCATTGCAACTAAGATTTTAACTACTTTACAAGGCATACAGATATGTAAAAAAAAAGGAAAGAAGTTTGGAAAGAACAAAACCCTTAACCGATGTTATTAATCAAAAATCACAAAACTAAACTTGTTGAAAACACATAATAAGTATCTAAGAGGCTATATGAAAACTAAATCCACGTGTGCATAGTAGACACGGAATTCCGTCAGAATGGACAAATACATTTTACAATCATTTATTTACCTATATAAATAAAACCATATCAATATAATAATAATAATAATAATAATAATAATAATAATAAATGCTTTTATTGACATTATGCATACATATATGACTTATGTCAATTGGCAGGGTTCAGTGTTCCTTAAAGGTAGATGAACTGCCTTTAAGTAACTCTGCTCTTCCACCCAACCATATAATATACAGTGTGTCTACGTAAGTTGGTTACATATGGAAAGCTTTTTTATTATTAGTTTTATCAAAAAAATTAATTCTTCTTAAAAAATTGTGCATGGTCTAAAACCTAAAATACACAACCATTAGATGAGGGATGGGTTGGTTCAGTGGTTAGAGTCATGAATTTGAGATCAAACGGTGTCGGGTTCGAATCCCGCTGGTGGCAGATATGTTTATTTAATTTAAAAAAATAAATATTAACTCTAATGCATAGGTAGGATTCCCCATTCGACCATTTACTGTTGGGTTTTAATTAACAGTGCTGTTTCATTCTTCAATAATTTTACATTAATTTTTTCGGACAATACAACAGTTTTTTATTTTTTATTCAAAAACGGAGCAACGTAGGAAAACAAAACAAGAGATCCTTTCAGTTCAAAATTGAATGAGGAATTTAAAAATAATTTTTATTTGAGAAAAAACCGTTGTCGTGCCCATTGTAAAGTAATTGAAGTACCAATTACCAATTACTAGGCAACCAAAAAACTATGCAAATTACTAATTACTTTAGTTTTTTAAAAGTGCTTGCAATTATCAATTACTCATAAAAGGAATTGAAAATGTTCAATTATAATAATTTAATTGCTGTTTAATTAAATTACTTTATCTGCGTCAAATACCTTTAAAGTAATTGAATCATTCCATTTAATTGAATTATCGATAAGTTATTAAATTACCAAAAAATAATTAAACATTTTTCATCAATCAATTTAATATAAGCCTATGTTAATCTTAAGAATAATATATTATAATATTACAAAAACAATGATGGTTTACAACGTAATTTCTTAATCAATTATTTAAAAAAACGTCTTTTACATATTTAATGGAGTTTGCCTTTATAAGTACCAGTTGCTCGAAGTGAATATCAGATAAAGCATGTCTCCTTGGAGCTTTAACGATTTTTGCAAAAGAGAACAAACTTTCTACCGGGGCCGATGAAGGAAGGCAAGTATTGAATTTAAAAAAATAAATGTCTCATGACAGAGTAATTATTTAGAGCAGTTATTTCTGTGTTTGGATCATTAAGGTATTGCAAAATTTCCAATTCAACTTTTTTCTTATTACTGCTAGGTTTCGATGTTGCAGCTGGTGAATCTTTTATTCAACGAAATCATATACTTTTGTTTGGTTGATCTCTTCTTGAAGCTTGTTTTCTGTATAAGTTTTCCGTTGGTGCTACTCCAGAGCGATCCAAAAATAAACAATGTTCAATAACGTCCACAAAGACTTCAGAAAACTCAAAAAGTGCAGTGAAAACCGCACGTCGATGTCTTTTCAATATAGAATAATTATAAAGGAACTACAAAGTGTTACTTTATAGTAGGACACCTTGTATGCAAGGATACTTGATTTTGGTGTATGTATTTTAAAACTTTTGCTGAAATAATCCTAGTAATTTAAATTCGCATGTTTTTAATAACTTATTTCTCCATGTAAAATCAATATTTCTCCGTACGCCCAAAAACAATAGCTGCTTTACAAAGGATTCATCAAAATGCACGCCGAGACAATTCCACCGGCAAGTCTCGCATAATTTCTGCTAGGAGGCGCTAGCTGACGGATAAATAGAATGAACTTTTTAATTTTACATCTAGAAATTATAATATTAATATCATCGATACTTTATTAATCCAGTTTATCTAACACAACCTTTAAAGATGAGAAAAGTTGTTCTGGTTTAACTATAAAATTCAATTATTTAAATAAAAAAGCACATATATTTTTTTAATAAATATAATAACTTTCCGCACCCCAGGAGTTGATTATGAATTGAATAATTCAAGCCGCAAACAAATATACTCAAAAATAAAAAAGTTACGTCAAAACTAGTGAAAACTGCATAATATAAGCCTCTTAATGTTCATAAAAGCCAACCACAAATAAACAGAAAGTAGTAACACACTACAGTTTTCTTCAATTTTTAAATGGGAATTGGATATTTTGTGGTAATTGAAATACAATAAATGAATTGAATTACTCCAAAGTACTTAAATTACTATACTTAAAGGAATTGAATTGTTTAAAAAATAATTTAATTACCCAAATATATTTAAAGTAATTACCAATTACAATTACTTTCTAGAAAGGATCCTACACCGTCCTCAAGAAAATCAACGATCTGGACAGGGATTCTTATGTGCGAACTCAACACGTTACTTGTTGAATAGAGAGAGACATTACATAAGAATTACATTCTGTCAAACGAAGATAAAGGGCTTCTCAACACGTGTCGTATTGAAAGATAAGAATACCACTGCTGATCTACCGTGTTCAGTTGTCAGCGGGAAATAAAACCAAGGTAGTTCACATTAAAATGTTAGCGCCATACCGTGGTCCAGATCCTCCCCGTTGGCTCCAACCAGGTTCCAGTAATCAAGTTATTCGGGACGAATAAGAGAAAAAGCAAGAATAATCTGGGAATATCTAGAAATGTTATTTCATGTTTAAGAGACATGGTCCCACTTCTCGAGCTGGGTGAATATTTTACTCGTTGAATAATTCACATAAAATTTGCACAAATCGTATTCTTAGCAAATCGACGAGTGTTCACTTCACATGAAAGATTGTGTGACAAGTTCATAGTGATTTATCATGTGGATGTTGGATATTTCGTATGAAAACGATCTTTTAAGGTTATATCGTCTGTCGAGTCTTCTATCACATTCTGTAATTACTTATTAGTATGTCTTCATACTTATTATTCATTAGTGTGGTTGTGTTTTTGATTGAATATAGTTTTATAAGGTGCAACAGATGTAATTTGAAGCAAAACAGCAAAGTTTTTATTTGTAATTGTTGGAGAGTTGAATTTTTAACAAAAATCCTAACAAACGTTTAAATAAAATAGTTCAAGACATTGAAGAAGATTAGCTTGCCGTTCTTTTGGGAATATATGAATTCCAAGAGTTAGAAGTTCAGAATCCTCGAAGATTTTTAAGACGATGGAAGCTATCTGATGAAGTATTTTCACTTATTTTAAACGTTTTTGTTTTATACCTATTTCGCTTTAAAACTTTTTATTCCAGTTATTGTAAACAAAACATGTGAATGCGATGAGTGATGGAATGGATGAAATGTCAATATTAGAAGTTATTATCTACAAAATAGCTCAAAAGTGACATAAAATATAGACAAAGTATATCATATAAATTTCACTTCACGAATTTCGATGCAATAGACATGTGAAGCGAATAACCGATTCACACGCCATTCACACCTGGATTCTCGGGGAAAGTGAATTCACGTTCATTCAGAACATTATATGTCACAAACATTTTTTAGTGTTTGGTTTAAAATATTTTCGACATTTTAAATCGTTTAAATTAAACTAGGACGCTAAAATGTTTGAACCAGTCAGAATCATATGGTTCAATAACGGTTGATAAACATGAAAGATTCGGATTTTGGCTGTTGTATATTGTTTTGCTGTTCCATCTTTATAAATTACATTTGACGTTTTGTTGATTTTTAATTCATATTCATAGATTATTTTATTAGTTATAATACAAATATCATTAAATTTTCTCGTTATATGTTGTAAACATCATATACAGTTGCACGATGTATAAGTAATTGTGGATTATAAACCAATGATGCAATTGAAATAAGATTACTTATCAGTTGTACGTTTTTGCGTTTTAATTGATGAACTACGGAAAAGCCCAAAAAATCTACAGCAAAGGATCGTCAGGCAATCGCGTGTCTGTTGAAGTTACGGA